TGTTTGATCAAAAGAACATTTTTACAAGTAAAGTCAAATTTTCACCAAAAGCGATTTCTAAACAGGCAGGCACGCGGGCAGCTATGTACACAGCGGGTCCTCCGAAAAAACTTTACGGAGCTGTCGGATAACTTTAGCAGTGTCTGGGTGAGATACGAAGAAAGTAACGGGAATGATCGCAATGTAGGAGAGATGGATACTCGCGGAGGAGGAACAGCGAGACAGGTGTGAGCAGAGGAGCAGACCCCTTTGTGTGAGCAGAGGAGGAGGAGGAGGATCAGCCGTGTGACAGGTGTGTGAGCGCTGCTATTGCCAATGTTTAGTCCGAATATTCACATCAAAAACATATTTTTAAAAGCATTAGCAAACACACCGTATGTCTAGCTTTAGCGCCCACTGTGAGTGGAGTGGATTTTGGTGTGGTCAGAGTGTGTGGAGGAGGAGGTGAAGAGTATGTTGTTGTGGTCAGTGTGGAGGAGGATGAGAAGGAGAAGGAGCGTATGTTGTTGTCAGAGTGTGTGGAGGCATGGCAAAAATGATGATGAGAAAAAAAAACAAATATTGACTCCGCCTCATAGCCATTTTGGCGCATTTTGCCGAAATCTAACTATTAGAAGAAAAAGACTCCTTTTGGTTCAATCTTTTGAGTTGCTCTGCCATTTTGCCACAGGACGAAAGAGCCATGTCAGCTAAAAAGACCGCGACCAATATCGCAATGCCAAGTGCCGTAGTGTTTGTGTGTGCGTGCGCGCGCCCAATGCTGCATAGGAGCGAAGACACTCGGCTGTGCACGTGCTGATCTCTTCACGCACCTCGCGAGGCGGTGCTGAATTCATGTCAAAGATTATCACAGGAAAAACTTTCCTCAGATCTGGGAAAAAAGTGTCAGGGCAGGGCCTCGCGTTTCGAGTTCGCACAGGGCCTCGCACTCCCCTTGCGACGGGCCTGCTCGTAAGTATATTAACAACAAACTCTGGGAGTGCACAGCATGAGTATGTTGTTTGAAAATATTAGCATAAAATAGCTCAGTTGTAGCCTAGCTATAAAACTGAAAACAGCTTGGTGTTAGCTAGGATAGCATCACTAAGAAAGAGATAAAAACAATCCAGTCTTTTATAGAATAATACTAGTACTAGAGCATACTAGTACTCTAGTTGGCACACTGATAACTGTTGTGATAAACATAATGTTGCAGATTTTAGTGTGACGTGTCTTAACATTAAGATAAGTTATAAGTCCAAAACATCTGGTACAGTGCATATGTATTAGATGAATGTAATGCATACATTACAACAACAAAGCTTTACATGAAGGTTATTTAAAGTAATACATTACTGCTACTTATTTCCTCACAATTTATATATTTGGAGTTCTTTGTAGACAACACTGTAGTAATGTATATGTGAAAGTAAAGCTGCATCTCACTGGAAGCTGCCTTCTCAATGTCACAAAATGAAGATACATTTATTGATGTAATCAACATCTGTATTATGTGCTTATTGTTCAGAGAATGAAGACAAAAATCAAAGTTTATTAGAGCTGTACAGTGAGATGTGGGACTGAAAAACAATTCCAGTAAAGCTTGTCCGAAACGCAAAAGTACTGTGTAATAACTAATTACGTTACACTGACTATTACACTGTAAGGAAACTTACTACTTTGAAAGCAAAGCTACAAGTAACATAGAACATATAAAGTCATTTGTCATAACAGTTCTTTCAGGAAGCACTGAACGCCCTCTGTCCAGAGAAGCTGATGACCAGATCCTCCCAGACCTGGCCCTGGTGCGTCTGTGAAAGGTGCTAACAGACATTGAAAACGTGCACGTCCTCAACTGCCCCCATGGTGCACGTCCTCAGCGGCCCCATGGTGCACGTCCTCAGCGGCCCCCATGGTGCACGTCCATTCTGCAGTTCTGAAATATTTTGGTAGTTGTACTATTTAAAAATGAAACGTTTTACATTCACCTCTTTCAATGTGTTTTGTTTTATAGTAGGAAAACAAATAGAGTCTGTAACGAGTCTAAGAAACTTTATTATGTAAAAGAAAATTTGAAGTTATGGCCAGAAAAATGTACACAATGTCCCTACTAAGACAAACAATTACAAGTGATGGTAAGGCAACATTTGTGTTATCACTTTTTGATCAAATGAATAACACTGTTATTATCCAGGTCCTTATCCATCGCTGCTGCAGCGAACACTATCAGAGATATCCAACAAAATGTTAATCTTTATGTTGTAGTTTGTTTGAATAAATGTCCTCAAAATAATTCTAAAGCAGCCAAGCACACACAGCCACAAGCACACACAGCCACAAGCACACACAGCCACAAGCACACACAGTCACACGCACACACAGCCACAAACACACACAGTCACAAGCACACACAGTCACAAGCACACACAGTCACACGCACACACAGCCACAAACACACACAGTCACACGCACACACAGCCACAAGCACACACAGCCACAAGCACACACAGCCACAAGCACACACAGCCACACGCACACACAGCCACACGCACACACAGTCACACGCACACACAGCCACAAACACACACAGCCACAAACACACACAGTCACAAGCACACACAGTCACAAGCACACACAGTCACACGCACACACAGCCACAAACACACACAGTCACACGCACACACAGTCACAAGCACACACAGTCACAAGCACACACAGTCACACGCACACACAGCCACAAACACACACAGTCACACGCACACACAGTCACAAGCACACACAGTCACAAGCACACACAGTCACACGCACACACAGTCACACGCACACACAGTCACACGCACACACAGACAGCCATGCTTCAGGGGCCCAGGTTGAAGGAACTGGAGTCTTCCTCTGGCAGAGATTTTCCTTTGAAACACAATAGAGGAGACATCAGTTTTATCTACTCAGATATGACTTTGATATATTCATCATCAACAACATCAGTATTTATTGATCACCAGGAGTGGCCCCTGATTCACAGGATCCTTGTACATGTTTATTTGGACTGTGAGAGACTGTGCATTGTGAGAGAAAGACACTTACATCGGCTGTTTTGGGAATCGAGTGATTATCTCACTCCTCTTGATTGTTGAAGAAACTCAGCGACAGTTTTGTCAACACTGACTCCTGGAACATGATGGATATTCATTTTGGATTTCAGGGCAGCAACACAACTGTAGGGATGAACGACACACACATCACAACATCATTATCATAATCACTGCGTCCCATATATGCATTCACAACAACCTACATGACAAATTCTGGGAGCAAAGTCTTGTCTTCCCAGTCAATACTAGAGAAAGAAGGTCTTTAATACTTCAGCAGAAAGGTATCTAGTCGTTATGGCTTTTTTTTTGGTTATTGTTACTTACATTGCATTATGGAGGCTGTTGAACTCTTGAACATTGAAGACCTCATTCCAGTTGATTTAGGTCATACTGGAAAAGATAGAGAAAAGAATGCAATGAAGACATGTAAATTATTACAATGTCTATATTATATCATGCTCATAATTTATTTGGTAGTAGTCAGCAAGACTTTTCTTACTTATTCTCAATACAAATGTATGTAGTGGTAAAGATATATTGTTTTTATAACAATAAAACTAATATCCAGAGTGCAAGTTGCAAAACTTAGTCATTGCAGAATGAAATGCAGACATATATATATATATATATATATATATATATATAGTGCAAGGAACTATGTTTCTTGGCAAAAACAAACGATTCATACAGATCAGAAGTGTTCGTAGCAGCCCAATAGATCCATGTAGCAGCCACATCATGTTCACAACTACAGACAGCTAATGCTAACAGCTAACGCTAATGCTAACAGCGAATGCTAATGCTAACAGCTAACGCTAATGCTAACAGCTAACACTAATGCTAACACCACTTCACGGTGGAACTCTGGTGATATGGTCTTACCAAATGGTACCAATTTAATTTTGTACATGTGGGGAACTAATAATTGACCGGAGTTTATGGATGGCTAAGGCCGGGATAAGGCTTCGATGTCATGTTGTCTGTTGTTGTTTCTCAAAGCTAACCCAAGGTAATGTGCAGTTATTGCCACAAAATGCGGCCATATTTCTACAACAGCTGGGGATTTTTAACAAGCTAACTTGGTGAAAACCCGCATTACAGTCTATCTCAGGCAACAATATGTATAAACTAGAAACTTGCAATGGCTGAAGCCATTGCGATTGACTGCGGAACAGATCTAATGTGGAAATCTGCTAAAAAAAATCCTTGAAATCCTTTAAAAGGCCTTGAAACTGTTAAAATACTTGATAGATATTTGAAACCCCTGAAGTCCTTGAAATTGTTGAAACCTTTAAACTCCTGAAATCCTTGAAACTGTTGAAACATTCAGCGCTGGAGCTTTTTTCTCCGCCATGTTTGTTTTGAAGAGTGCGCGTGCACGCAGAGAGAGAAACCCCCTTTTTCGGTTCTCTCTCTTGATTGGATTAAACGTGTAGGATACGAGGTTTTCTTAAATAAAGAATGGGAGAAGACTGGAAGGACTGAGAGATCCGTGTTTAGGTACAAACACTCTATATAAGTGGTGGCTATTGGAAGATATACATATTTAAGACATATATTAACACCCAAAAATCGCTTACTTCTGCTTTAAGTCCACCGATCCCTTCCAAACAAAAACAATATTAGGACCACTGTATTTACACATAGATATTTAATGAACACAAAATTTACATTGAACAGGTTTGTGTTTAACTTTTTACACATATTAGTTGCATGTCGGTTTTTCAGTATGAGGTTAAATAACACAAATAAGCTTATAAGTCATGGATTGACCCTGGATAGTAGTGTATAGTGTAAAACATCAAATAGTGGATAGAAGTTCAAATGGGCAAGTAAGCAGAAAACATGATGCTACATGAAACATTTAGTCACAAAAGGCTTCTGATGATGCCATAATATCACATGTCGGACGGCTACAACTCTCTGAATCTAAAAGTACATGATTTTTTGGCAGGATTGGCAGCGGTGCTTCACGTCCTTGCCTGAATTGACACAGAAGGGAATACAACTGCAAGGCCAGGCCCTAGAAGACAACAGAGGGCAAAATGTCAAAACAATGTACAGTACACATTTTTCATTTGTCTATGAACAATGAGTACCCAGCCGCAAAGATAAAGATACACATGAGCCAGGTCCGAGTTCCCACAGTGTGCTCGAGCTGAGTGACGACAGCCTGGTGGCAGTGAGGGCATTCAGTCGCACGGGGCACGTCCTGAGCAAAGGTGCCTATAGAATGTAGACAAAACTGTTCATTGTTGCTTCAAATAATATTACATTTATTTAACATTTGCAATTTTTACATCAGCACTTACCCATATTGCTTGATGGTGGCGGTGATGTAAATGGAGGACCTGTTGGACAGAATATATACTGTAGTATTTCTCTTAAGTTTTATTAATAGAATAATGATAGAAGAGTAGAAGTGTACGTATGATCAGTGGCTACAAACCTGTTAAAACTGTCATCGGGGCATGATAAACCGCACCTGTGTGGATTAAGAAAGTTAGGGCGCACAAAAGCCATCATTAATGTAGAAATACAACTTATGCAGAAACATGTACCTCCTTGAACAGCCATGTGTGAAGCAGGTTGACCACTTGGGTAACTTAGTGGAGGTGGCCCTGGGTATGGAGGGGCTGGCAAACATTTAAAATCACCAAAAGGTTTCAAAACGGTGCATTGACTTAATCCAATCTCCTTCTGAAAGGCTCACAGATAGCTGCAAACACGATTTTACACTAACGCTCTTAAAAAATGCTACTATTTTTATGAATAAATAAACAAAACAAATGACATACAGACGTTGTTTATATAATTCACTTTGAAGTAATCTTATGTTTCTTCTTCCATCCCCCAAATATTGCCGATACTCCAGTTCCGAGTTAATAGAAATCATTGGGTCTCAAAGTCTTCTTGTGATGAATAAGATAAAGGCGATGTGTGAGTGTGTGTAAACATACTGAAAAATATACCCAACAACAGATGTAATATTTAAAACATTTATTAGCTAAAGACATTATTAAACTGTCTGACTAACTAACTGATCTTGATCTACTTTAGTTTGAATATGATTACAGACATTATCAACAAATGCTTTCCATCCTCTTGTAAATATGGATGACCCTCTGGCAGTTTGGACAGCGATGCTCCACGTCTTTGATGGAGTCGATGCAGAAGGGGATACAGCAACAAAGGCAGCACCTGAAAGAGAAGGAATCTGTTCACGTCAATGTTGAAATCAAGTCAATATAAATAATGTTTCTATGAAGAGCAGTAAAGATTACAAAGTCAAGGACGAGGGTAAAGAGGGTCATTTTGATTTTCTCTCAATACAAATTTGTGAGAAATCTAGCTGCAGAAACGGTCCAACTCATTGAAAGGGTTCTTTGATAGTTGTCATTTATTGTGTTTGTTCTGATTTAAACTGGAAAGACTGTGAATGACCAAACGACAATAAATGAAAATCCGCTTCTTATGGACTGATGGCTCTATGTGTTTTTTACCATATCTTGAGTTTGAACTGTTTGATTCTCGGTTCTGTGGTGGCAAATTCAAGTCAAGTTAAAGAAGCTATACCCGATTTATTTTCTAATGAGTTCATAAAAATGCATATTACTACATACAAGCTGTATTATAATTCGTAATGTAATTGAAAACTTGAGCTCATTGATTCAGCTTGTGTATGAGTTCACTCACAGAACAAGGAGCAGCGCTGTTACAAACAGGCTGCGTCCTCTAGCCTCTACAGCGCTGCTAAACACAGTAGCATGTTAGCAGAATTGGCTATAACTCCTCTTGCTGTACAGTGAGGAAGAGTGCGGGAGCGGGACCGCCTCGGACTACATTTGGACGCGAAACTAGCGGTAATCTTTCAGTTTTATATTTTGTTAGCAGTGCGTTGCTTTTGTACCATTTCATCAGTGATTGTTGTACAGCTTACAAGAAGTTGCCCTCATGCTAATGTTTGCATATGTATCAGATCGCAAATAAAACTAGATGGCTTTGTGGGAGGAGAGCGTAGGGGAAATCCGAAGCCTGTGAGCGAGTTGGGGGGCAGTGCTAAACATTGAAACTGAAAAAAACCTTGCAGAAACGGGTATAGCTCCTTCAACTACTGTTGTGATTTAGGGCTATACTAAAATAAAGTGAATTGAAATGAGTTTTGAGCGACAATTTACCAATAATTCATCGCATGATACATAATAAATTATCAATCATTTGTATTTAATAAAAAATATAGACATGCACCCTTCAAACTACGCAATTTAAGTTGTGTAAAAATCCCCTTCAAAATATAGAGTTGTTCCCAATACCCCAGTAGGGCCACCCCTCCACAGATGAGCCAAGTCATGAGTCCGGAGGAGGGCTCTGTGCAGGTGGTCACCGTCTGCTGGCAGTGGGGGCACACGGCCTGTCCCGGGACGTCATGCAGCATTGGGGACACCACCATGTGAGTCACTGAGGAAGCCACGCAGAGGAAGTGCTTTATGGTAGGTGTTGAGAGACTGTTCATCTATACATTTTATACATTCAATAACATCAAACATTTTAACATTTAATTTGAAGAGCCACATAAGTCAGAAGTTAACTCTGAATCTTCAATTACATTTTATTTTTTATTTGGCCCAGTGATGGAACCCAATCTAGAAAATAATATCCTAAGTCATATCAAATAAAATGGATTTGTCAAAATAAAAAAATATGTAAAAAAAATACAAAATAAAAAAGCAAACAAGTTTCATATTGTTGGCCCCAACTAGCTCTTATGTTTTTAAAATTGGCCCTCTGCTCTACATCCTTTGCCTTTGGAACCATATGATGGGGTCAACCATAAAAGAAAAACCTCAAGGAAGTCGAAGCTTCAGCTGTGTTTGATTCAAGGAACAACGATGGGGACTTCATCAACGCCACATGAACAAAGCAACTCTGGAAAGTTTATGAAAATTCCGAGCAAAAAATTGCATGTAAAAGCGGAAACAAAAATGCTCTTTTCGCATATTCAGATCCAGCCACTGCCTGCCAAATAGCACTGAATGCCTGGTGCAGACTTGAGCGAGATAGACATTTTTTTTAATTAACCTAATCTTAACAGCTACTTTTTTTTAGATACCCTAAGTATTTTTTCAAATCACATTGTTTGTATTACTGTACATAAACAGTATTTTAAAAAGAGCAGGTCAGCGAGCTTGAATACCCACACTTACTCAAATAAAGCATTAAGCTCATCTATCTCCAGGTGGTGGAGCATTGCTGCCCTCTTGTGGATATTTTTGCCCAAAGTCTAGTACAAGTTGTTTTATAATTATCTTGAACACTATTATTACGTTATACTAAAACATATATGACATATGATAAGCTTATTATTTCAGGAAAAAAATAGTTTGCCTTTCCCTTAGGGGCTTTGTAATTCCACCCTTTTTTATCCAGCCTGATAATAATGCACCTGACTGTCAAAGTAACTGATATAAAAGCCACAACAGAAGGAAGTGGGGGTTGAAACAGTTGGATTGTTTTGTAGTGAAGTGAACCACCCTTGAACATTAAACTGAGCTCTCGGCCTTAAGTGACTTGGCTCTTCTTTACAAGCTAGCATCGACAGCATATTATAAAATCAGATGTGCCACAAAATTATACTCTTTCACCAAATTATAAGTCAAAGTTTAAGCAGTGGTTGAATACAGAATCAACCTTTAGATTCTGACAATATTATACTTTTTATTGTTGCTATTAATGTGGTATATTATATTATGACACAAGGCTCAAAAGGCTCTTATCAGATTGGAGAGAACAGTCGGGTTGGCCCTCGAAGAATGCAGCTTTAAATAGATGCTACACACTAAGCAAAGGTTTTCTTTTGCACCAACCTGCAGCAGTGGGCATAGGAGCTGGCGCATACCCAGGGCCTGTTAAACAATAGAAATCACAACTATTAATTGAAATCACCAAATGATTTTACAATATGCATACATTATATACTCAACTTGAGGAGGGTAAGGAGGTCCTGGTTAACAAAAATAAATAAATAAATAATAAGTTCAAATAGTGTGATACAGGAGTATAATAAAATAAAATATAAGATGCTTCCTACCGCCTTGGTAAGCCACTGGTGGAGGTGGATACATGCCTGGCTGGCCTCCTGGGTAATTCATCGGGGCAGAGTAGGGAGGGGCAGATTCATTTGGAGAAAATCCCTTTTCCATCTTCAAATCAACTGAAATATTATTGAAATAACTGATTCAACAATGCAATGTTTGAATTGGTAAGCTGCATAAATACATGATACAATCAAGAAGCGAATGCTGCACTTGACGCGGAACTAGAACTCTAACAAACAGAAGTTATTACACAGGAGAACTGCATCTTCTTTCTGAATATGAAAGGTCCAATGTCACTTTACACTATATTACTATATACACAAAATACTAAAACTAGCAAAATCACCAAGTTCATTCCCACGGAGTAATAACATCTAAAATGGATAAAGAATATCGCTGATGGGAATTTGATTTTGTAATAATGCTCTGCAGGAAAGTCCTAGGTCACACATATCACACATCTCGATATATGTAGAGATTGAAGAAGAATATGCAAACTGCAGAGTCCAGGTTAAGCTCCAGGTTCTCATCAAGTTTAAACTTTGACATGGTGTATACAAGCGTTCACAAACACTGCTGTTGTAAACATCATGTAAGCTCAAAGAGTGTGAGAAAAGCCTGAGTCTGAGCCAGGTTTAATACATGCCGATGGTATGGAAACCATTTGAGAAGCATAACACACGGGGATGGGCTTGTTGATGAAAGCACTTAGTGTTCGCCATTTCCCTAAAATCAATCAGACCATGTCTTTTGTCACATGGATGCTGTAAAACTATTCAGTTCATTTTTTGCGACCCCTCCTTGTATCCCTGTCCCACACATAACCAGATAAGCATACACATGTTAAGAAATGTAGAAAGTAGCAAAACTTTCTAAATTATACACACATCTTGCGACATCCGTTCATTTTCTCATCAGTATTTGATGAGATCTCTACAAACATGGAAGACTAAAATTAAGTTTATCCTACCTGCAGGATCGCAAAGCCCCAGAGGAGTTCACTGCTGAAAAAATAAACAACAAAATGTTCCAGGTAATGTTTCACAGCGGTTCTCTCAACTCTCCTGATGGTTCTTCTATGAGACGACTGTCCTCCCACATTGCACCCGCCCCTTCTTTTTCAACTGGGCAGGGTTCTGGAGGGAAATTAACATCTAATAGGGAGTTAGATTATTGACATCCATGAAAAAAGAGGACCAACATTAAACATTTTCAGTTGTACAATAGTGAAAATTCCCAACATCTGCTCAAAACTGAGTCACTGTTGAAAAATGTGAATCCAGTGAAGCCTACGTTATGCATGTGGCAGGAAGTCCTTTATCAGCTTTGTTTTGCTTCAGTTTATCTTGAATTATCTGTGTAATTCTTGAGTTATAATGCGAGGAAATTCCAAACTCTCAATTAGAGGCATGATTTAAATACAATCTTGAAAAAAAAATCTTGAAAAAAAATCTTCAGAAAAGAAAATGTATTTAGTCAAAGTCACAAGGTCTGGGAGGGAGTGTTCCTAAGCAAATATGGTTGAACAAACCAGGTGCACTCAGGTCTTTTGAAATGTGACAAATATCATGTTACATATGACAACATCCCCAGAGTTTGACACTGTTGTATATTTTAAATATACACTTAACAGATGTGACAATATTTGACCATTTGAACTCTAATTTTAATCATAGCCAAATAAGACCTGTGCCCTCAGGTCTTAAGTCACAAGGACACAGGATAAGCAGACAGGAATCATAAAAAGATATCGCCTTTGCAACCGCCGGAAAAACCTAACAAGAAGAAGAAGGACACGACACATTTGTGTGCGTCAGATCCGAGAAAGAAAGTTATTGAAAGGAGAAGAAAAAGATTGAAAGAAGAAGAAAGTGATTGAAAAGATTGAAAAGAAGAAGAAAAAAGACATTGAGACAAGGACATTGGACACTATGAGACAAAGACAATTGAAAGACGCCATAAGAGGAGGACGTGGCTGGGCAAATGAAACAGACAGAAGGTAATATATACAGACGGGCAACAAACGCACCAAGACATTAAGGACATTTAGGTCATATTTACACATTTAGGTCATACGTTCAAAACACTACATTTAACTGCATGAATGATTACAAGACAATCGTCAAAATTATTAGACTCTTACTTTAGCATGAGACACAAGGAGATTAGAACAGCAGTATATTTGTGCATGATTTAGATGAGTTTTATTATTAAAACTATTATTGTTATTTAAAGTTATAGTCGCGGAGAAGTTTAGAATTATTGATTTTGACTGCATGATCTTGGTAATATGGATATTTAAAGCAATTTTTCAACCTCTGAACCGTGGCTCGTTTCTCATTTAAAAACAATCACATGCACAGTTGAAACTGGTGCTAGAAAGAGAACTGCAGCTTTTGATGGACGCTGCATTTAGTACAAAATGGTTTGTTCAGACAATTAAAGTTTGAAAAATGATTTAAATTTTGGCTAAAGGTGATATTGGATCATTTCTGATAGCACATTGACGCACCACGGTCCACTGGTTGAAAACACGGATGTAGAGACATTTTATGAAATCTTTTATTACATGTTTCTCTTCCAAATAGCTAAAATTAGAAACAATTAGGACAATTATGTCTTTGATACAACTGTTGACAGTTTATCTGAGACATGATTGGTGCAAGTACGTCAACACCGTACAATAATAGTCTTTTCTCCACATGAACGTGAAACAAAGGTGAAGTATTAAAGTTTGAAATTAATTTAAATTTGAAATGAATCCGAACTGGCTTTACTAAAAAAAAAAAAAAAAAGGGAAAAACATTTATAGCACGTGCACGAGTTTTTAAAGTAACAACAAGAGCTCATTAAAAATATAGGGGACACAGTCTGTGAGAAGCCCGAGCAAAGACCACGTGGTTTAAACACTAAAGTTTGAAATGGATCCTTTTAGGAAAAATCTCTTAAAGCTCTGCATGTTCTGCAGGCTCTGAAAGTTGCAACAATAAAATAGCTCATGAGACAATTGTAATTGGACATGGAAAAATATAACAAAGTTAAAATTACAGGCCTCCTGTGTTGTCTATATGTTTGTGTATGTTATATGTTTGTGTGTGTTATATGTTTGTGTATGTTATATGTTTGTGCGTCATGTCAAGTACACTACATTGACCTTAACAAAACTCTGGACCAATATACTAACGTGGGGAGTCGGCCTGTGTGAGTGCGATGTGAGTGTGTTGTGAAATGAGGAGTGGACGAGGAGTGCTGAACGGAGAATGGTATAACAAATGTTTTTCTGTAATGTTTTAATGTGATCATGGAATAATTATTTTTTGTCAACAGCATACGGTGTAAGTACTAGAGATTCAAAGATAACAAGCTTTATTGAACAGGTGTAAAAGTGAGAGTACTCTGGGATGAGTACTCTGAGGAAGTACTCTGAGGAAGTACTCTGAGATGAGTACTGTGCGGGAAGTTCTACTGTTCGTTCTGACAGTGACACAGTCCACCCACAGTAAACGGTCATTGGTGAGAGGACAACCTTGGTTTGTAACTCACATTTAGTGGAGTATAAAATTAGAAACATACATATTGTTAAGTCTGTATTTGGCTACAGCCTCTGCCCTGATGTCACACGACCGTCTGTCAATGCAGTTATGTTTTGCCCAATTGGAAAAGATTGACAGGCTGCACCATGCCAGGGAAGTGGGCATTTCTTGTGTTCTAATGTTTCTTTTTCAGATAAAAGATAAACTACACCTGCTTCAGGGATAACACAGTAGTACGGATCATGAGAGGAAATGAGCCTCTACTTTGGCACCAAAGCCCACAATACGAATTGAGGACGATCCGGGAGAAACAACTGGAGATGATTGGAACAGTAATCTACACACACACACACAGACGCATACATTTACACTTGGCCCACGACCAAGAGAGGGAGTATTGTAATGTTATTGTCATAGGTGGTCATGGTCCTTAACCTTCTAAATCATTAGAAAGAAGTGTAAAACATATATTTACAAGAACAAATAAATAATGGAAAGGGCAGCCTAAAAGCAAAATGGAAAAATTATTAAATGATTTTCGGAGTTGCCAAAATAAAATAAAATTCTTTATTTGTCCCATAGGGGGTCATTCTAAATTTAGTGTTGTGCAAATTCAAAAGGAGAAATAATAGCGCTTATAATGCACACATCAAACAGATCTACTCTTTAAGATAATAGATCATATAATAATAATAATAGAATAGAATGAAATAGTCTGGAGCTATAATGTCATTGGATTCAAGGAGCTATAGGTTGAAAGGTCGCTAGGAAGAGGTGTCAGAATAAACAATAGTAATAATAGTTAGAGTAGTGAATAATCAAAATAGTTCTATTTTGAAAATAAGTATCAATAAGGTCAAATTGTTTTAATAACTAAAGTAAAAAGGAATCAAATAGAGTCAGATTTTAGATGCTTCTGTTTTCCACATCTGTAGGATCTAGTGCAGATAAGTTTGGGAGTAGTATTAAAATGCAGACATAGAACGACAGGCTTTAACAAAATTTTAAATCTAAAAATAGCTCAAATATAACATTGCTCTTGATGCAGCCTCTGAGCTGCTCCATTGGAGAACAGGTTAAATGTTATTGTTTATTACAAACAGCTGATGTATTCACACATATTGAGTTTGGGACAACTCTTTAAACAGTTATAAGCAGCGGACAGAAGCCATGAATGTGCTTTTGTGTATTAAATAATTAATTTCATAGCCATATAATCGTAGATAACGTTTTAAATAGTTCTCTTCCTCCCGCTCCCTTTCAGGCAACTTGATTAGATTCATGTCTTTAATATTGGAGAACTACTGTGTTGTTTTTGGAATTGTCTGAAATACAATACATAAAATAGTGATTTGCAGAACAAGAACCAGCCAATGAAAAATCATCTATTGCCAATGCTATTGCTACAACTAAAACCACAACTGCGACAAATGCAATAAATGTTAAGTGTTCAGTCTGGCAGACAAAAAGGTTGACTTTTAGTCTGGGGAGACTGAGCAACTGTTAAAATGGTTTAAAAAGATAAAGTATGAGTATTTCAGCGTTTTAGTAGATGTTAAATAGTAGAAAAAGTAGAATTTGATCATTGTTCATAAACACACTTCAGAGTAAGAGTTAAAACGGTACCATACATTGTGATCCTTCTGATAGAGCAGCTAAACTGTTAGAATCAGAATTATTTTACAGCCATTGAAAGTGACAGAAGTCACAAATTGGAAATATGCTTTGGCTCAAGCTACAACCGAGCTTTGGAGTCACAATAGAGTAGAAATAGATAGATGCTTTCAAAAATAGAGATTATTCTTAGCCAGTGCTAATATCAAATGGTAAAAGGACCATTTCCTTCAAAATAGGATCACAAGCATTTACTTCAAAAGTGGATAAAGTTCATTACAGTTTATGCACAGTTTTTATTAGATACTTGTCAAATTCACTCGTTTCAAACATAGGTGAATGTTGACAATGCAAGAAGTTCATGAGTGTAGCTTAGATTAATGAGATAGATTAGAACCAACACAGATTCAAAAACATTTAAAAGCATTTTAATGTATTTGGGTATAGCACAAAAGTAGATATTTAGGTATTTTTGAGAATTTTAAGAGCTGTCGATTTGTCAGCACAGATTAGAGAATCAAATACCGTTGTAGAGGGACTGACCCCAGAGAAACCTGCTAAAATAGATTAGCTCCTGTAAGGATAATACCAATTTGGTTAATGATGTGCATTCATCCCAAACTGTCTGAGAGGAGGAAGTGACAGCACTTCCTGGTTCAACAAATGTATTTGGAAAAATGAGCAAAGCCCCACGTTGGGCACAAAGCCACTGTTAATGAAAGCAAACCACAGTATAGAGAGATTTATTAGATAAAAACATATGTTTCGAATGTGGTTGTGTGTTGTTTGTTTTCCCTGTATTCATTCTTCACAGACATCGAGCCAGATGTTGGTGATGATGGAAGATCTCCCCAGTCCCGTCACCCGAGAAGGGTTATTGAAAGAGTGTGACCTATTGTTTAATATAGGTCAAGAGAGGGAAATGTTGTATATTTTAAATATACACTAAACAGATGTGACAATATTTGACCATTTGAACTCTAATTTTAATCATAGCCAAAAAAGACCTGTGCCCTCAGGTCTTAAGTCACAAGGACACAGGATAAGCAGACAGGAATCATAAAAAGATATCGCCTAAACATTATCTGCTTCACTCTTCTGACGAGAGCAAAGTCCCTCACAATCAGGCGGAAAGGGAATTCACCAACTGCATTCTGACGCCTCCCAGTGGACAAGGGACGCCAGCACACCCGGATGGAAAACCCTTGGGCGCATATGGATGACGTCATCGGAAGTCTCCTACATTTAACCTCCCTGAAGGTCTTGGGACAGTGAGCACAGGGCCAGCGAGGGACACAGAGAGCAGGCATAGTTTAGGAGCTTGTTGAATTTCTGTATCTGATTGTAAAGATAAATTAAATACAGATGTTAAACTTGGATTATCTTCGTCTTACTTCTGCATCAACTTTGAACACGTCTGTCAAGGGTATTTTTGACGACAACACATAAAAGCTCAAACACAGTGGAGCAGAGGACTGTGAGGTCACAAGATAAGAGCAGATCCAATTGCCAAAACACTGAAGTCACCCAACCACTTTACATTTGAACTATTAACTAATTTAAATGTTTTTATTCTTAAAAAGTAGATATAAGTTCAGCAACAGAGTGAAGCAGCAAGGTTTTAAATTTTACAGAAGCCACTGAATGAGTTATTAAAGATTTCAGGGATCAATGAAAAGTTATCTAATGTAAAAGTTCATATATTTGTTGGTAAGAGTATTAATAAGCGTGCGGTATCGTATTCAGCAAACAGCTCAACTCCATTATTGTATAGAAGTTGAGAACATTTTTGTATAGTTGTATTATAAACAATGAACTGTGAAGGGGTCCTAAAAAATTATAATACATAATTGGATTTTTCTGTTTTAAAAGGAGAAGACTTCAAGATAATGACTGGATAGAGCCCATAAACTACATTGACCTTGAAGTATAAGTTTTTTACCTTTCGTCTTCTGCTGCTCCAACAAATTATACTTTCCCCATCCTTGCTCAGTCTCTTTCTCTCCGTAAGTCTTCAGTGAAAAAGAATATCCACTTGTATTTCCAAAAGTATAATCCATTCTTCAGAAATAATCCAAAAATGTGCATTTTTCTGTTGCAAAAAAAAAAAACACTCCAAAAAATGTTCAGGCTTCTCTTTCACATTTCACCAAGTTTGAGCTTTGTTTATCCCCACAAACATAGCTTCAAAAAGAGAGGTTCCATGAAAAGATAGGAGCAGGTTTCAGTCCGCAGGACCCTTGTGAAAAAGACAAACCGCATCCACTTGCAGAGGGGTCCGTTTTTGCCTTGTTGTTGATTACAGGCTAGCAGTGTTGCCAACTCCTCAGTAAGGAAAGTAGCTATTGGCTGTCCCAAAAGTCGCTAGAAGTCGCTAAATGACGTCATCGCCTAATTTGCATAATTTGCCATTTGCAAATAACTGTAACGGACGCTGTAGGAGAGAGGAATAAGGTCGTGGGAGAGACAAAAGTGAGTAAAAACACCCTAAATATGTTTAGAACTACAAATGTACAAAAATAATTTCAACATTAACAACATTTAATGATTTTAATGCTTTGTCTAGATCCACATTACACACATCAGTTTTGTCCTGTATTGTTAAATGTTATAACAGCAAATGTAATCAAAAGATTGTTATGTAGGGTGAAATTGCTAGCTCTACAACCAACCCTCCTCCTTTATCCGGGCTTGGGACCGGCAAAGTGACCCAAAAGACACACTCTGGAGTTACTTAGGTTTATTTTAGTAAGTTTTTTTTTTTTTTCATAGTTTGGCATAACAAATGATTTAATATGACCCACTACTGAGAGAAAACAGAGTCACGGACAGAGCTGCCGCGGATGGAGTGGGGGGTAGTGGGGGGTGGCGGTGGTAGGAGTGGCCGGGGAGCTTTGGATGTGTGGTGGTGGTGGAGCTGAAGTTCAGTCTGCAGCAGCCTGAAAACTTCCTGTGCTTTTGAGTCTCCTCTCTCTCTCTCTGCTCCGCCCATAGACTGTAGCTGGGACTGCTGCGCAAGGCTACTGTGAGACTGGCCGCCTGTAAGTGCTTTGGGACGGGGGAGGGGCTCACATTGAGGACAGCAGAACAATACGTGCTTCACGAGTCTCCAAAACACCAGATAAGTCGCCAAAACACCAGATAAGTCGCCAATAACACCAGAAAAAGTCGCTAGATTTGTCGCTAGTCGCTTTTTTGAAAAAAAGTCGCTATAGGGGTCTGAAAAGTCGCTAAATCTAGCGACAAAGTCGCTAAGTTGGCAACACTGCAGGCTAGCGCAATGTGCTAGCACTGAATGATGTGTCTAAGAAGCCAATAAAAAGAGCTTTATTTTGATGGGTGGGACTTGTAGAAACTCGTAAAGCGTAAAGACGCTGTTAGTACTGCTGCCATGGATCTATTATATTAACACTGCTGCTCATATTTTATATGCATTTACACTACAAAAAAATTAATTTTGAAAAAATGTAAAAGGAAATCACACAGATTTGTAACTTATAAGTACCAAAACTAAAAAATATACTTTTTATGATGGTGAAATGTTAGTAAAGCAGTTTGGCACAATTTGGCACACATTTTGCCAAATTGGTTCTGAATGGCACTACTTGATAAAAAAAGAGAAACTGCATAAAAACTATAAAACTTAGAAGTCTGAAACTTTACACAGTTGTTGTCAACAACACAATGAACAAATTGCCGTTGAATATTTTCTTCTTCCAATGAAGTAGGCTTTTATAGGGCATTTATACATTGATTTTTTTGGGCGAGGCAAAAAAAAAAAGTTTTTTTTCCCAAACTTCAAAGAATGCAGAGTAAAATAGGAATGACATACATTATTTCAGTGTATATTTACATAAACTAGAAGGGCCTAGCTTTAAAATGATGCCTCACACAAGCATGTGAGATATAAGATGTGTTTTTAAATAAGCAAAGACATTTGGGTATGCCAAACTTTTGTGCACGAGCCAAAACAGATGTAGGAGTTTAAGAGGTTAAATAAAATTGATTGATTTGTAGGTCTTTGGTTGACACGATCAGCTGAGATGCAAAGGCAACACTCATGAGGCTCAGACCCGGGAGGTTCTGTTGGTCTGCAGCTGTCCACTGTGCGCTTCTTCCGAGGGAACTAAATAAAGAACTCTGGTCCAGACAGGTTCATAAATATCTGTTCCATCACTCTGCTCCAAGCCTTGGTCCCAGTAGGAGCAGAGTCCGGGCGAGTTCTGTTCAGTCCTCCACAAGCGCCTGGTTCTGAAGTGAAACAAAACGTCCAGACTGGAGCGAGAGCCCAGAGAGTGAGACAATGCCAATGGTCTTGTCCTGTTCTGGTTTAGGCGCGTTCGCCAGATGTGTTTAAGAAGCAAAGCAGCAGACATGTGACCACGGCTCCGTTCGGCTCATGTTCAGAGCAGCTCATCCTTCTCCTGCCTTCTGAGCGCAGTCTGCAGCTCTCACTACTTGGACCCTCCCCTCTAATGTGAACCTAGTCTGAACCAAGTCTGAAACTGGTCTCCACCTGGCCAGGCCTCCTCTGGATCTGGTCAAAGTGGCTTCAAATGATATTCCATAATGTAAAAGTGGTTCAGTTTAATTATTCAATAGCAAATAGTTTTTGAAGATATTTTCAAACAAAATACACCTGAATTGGGCCTGTGCACGTCACCACTGCCCCCTCTGCTCTATATCCGTTAGACAACCAAAATAGTATATTGTGTAGTTTGTCAAATGTTGGAAAGTGAAGGCCAGGGAAGAGGAAATGAGTGCGATTGACATTAACCAAAGTTTCCACCACAGCAATATCCTGTTTCTGTTATGAGTTATGAGGTGACATCTGCAGTGTTGAGGAGAATTTGATGAGATTGTATTTAGTTATGGAATACTGAACACGACTTTGAATTATAAGGTAAAATAATATTAAGGATTAAAACATTTGTCATACAACACACTACAATAGCAAGGAAATCACAAAGTTGGTAATGTACAGTACTGCATGATGAAATATCGCTAACCATTCCATACCTGAACCTAAAAACATACTCCCTAACATTGTTTACCTGCAGATTTGGAATGAACAAACCAGAAAAATAACTGCGTATAACTGTGCTCTTGCGTTTATAATCATGATTACTCAATTTCTTATTTTCCAGAAAACTGAAACTCCAAATTGATAATATAAGATAAGAACAATAAGAACTGCTGAGTCTGTAAATTTCATTCATCTGTAAATAAACAAATTCTTAAATCATGTGCAATGTGCAATACTGCAACTTCAGAAACTTCAGAATATCCACTGAACAATGTCACTTCGCTTATCTACTTATTATCCTGCACTGCATGTACAGTACATAACTCTGCACTACTACATGTAAATATTTTTGGTGGTATTGAAGCATCTACAGCCAGTTATGTTAAGAAACATAGCTACTACTAATTTTGTATATTGTGTGTGCTCCCTGTGTCCCTTTACTACTGTCCTGTATGTGCGCTGCAACATCAATATTACCCCACTGTGGAACGAATAAAGGAACTCTTATCTTATCTTATCTTATACAGGGGGCCTAAATGACATGTTTTATACTTAACAGTCAAAACACAATTTGCATGAAATAAAACGGCACAAATGAAACAGCCTACGACCTTGATATTGTGGAGGTGGGTACATCGCTGGCTGTTCATGACCTGGATAGTGCAAGGGTGGCCCTGGATATGGAGGTGCAGATTCAGCCGGTGCATATCCCTTTTCCATCTTCCAAGACGTCTGTGGGTTACATCATAGACTGTATATTACTATGTTACAACTTTTCCAAGATAATATATCAAATAGCCATCCTGACTTATCACTTTCTGTCAAAATAACAGTGTTCTCAATCATCTCTGTATGTTTGTAACACATGACAAAGACAACAAGACAAGACTTTCGGACTAAAGACGCTGGTTGCATCTGAATGCTTAAAAACAGCCTTCCTTATTGGGCCTTCTTCTATTCTTTGACTTTTTGTGGCGTTAAAGTTGACCCAATTGTCATTTAAAAAGTTTTAAACTGTACTAAATATCACTTGAATCTTTCCAGTCTGATAAAAAGATCAATGTTAAATGTAAAGGAGGATAGCAAAACTATTTTGGAGGTAGTCCTGGCATAGATCATGATGCAGCCGCTGTATGCAATCGCCACATCCGTAGTGTGAAAAAAGTGATAAAGGTTTTTTGATTTTCAGCAACTTAGATATAATTATGTCAAGCTGGTTAGATGTTATCAAATATTTTTAGAACTATGTCGCTAAAAGATTGCCCTAAAAGAACAATGGTCCTGCCACACACCATCTCCTCCGCCTGAGAAAGTGAAACTAGCGGACCAGATACAACACATACAGTCTATGGATACAACACGTTTTACATCCATCGTCAAAGTTGACATCCACTTTTCTTAAAAACACATACCTGACTCTAATAGGCTTGAACCTAGACCCAAATGCAAAAAGACGAAGTATTTGACTTTTCCCGTGGTGAAGGAGCGTCACTTGTTTATTAGTGCGGAATACGGACATAGTGCGCCTCTAAGTGGTGGAAGGTGGTATTACATCATCCTGCATCAGCGCAAGCAATAGCACGGATTGTCATGTCTTTTGAATGATGGGATAGGCAATAGTTGGGCAAGATAAAGGTGTGTCCACTGCTTGAGTGGTAGGAGTCATCTAGATCAACTTCCTGTAAGTCTTGAGAAATATTTGAATGTCAGACTAAACAAGAAATTATTGAGAACTTTGTATCCCTGCAGTGATACATGACATTCACACTCAGTTAAAGTGCATGTCCGTATTTTAGTTTTCTCACTTTACTCCATCAAAATATTCCACATTCTGAAATACATTAATGGTATACATTTGTTATATAGAGTGTTTTCATAAAAATATAATATAATAGTAATATAATTGTTGCTGTTCATATACTAGGCCCAAACCAAGAAGATATAAAAGAGGACATTTAATGACACTTAACATTTACAAAGTACATACAGACATAACAGATCATATTCATACCCAGGGAGAGATGGTTGGGAGAGAGCGCGTGGAACCACTATTATGTCCTACTACATTGTCCAACTTGTTTCAAATTGATATTTTTAGGTTTTGCTTGTACTTTTATATTTTTATCTTTGAAAATTGATGCTTCGGAGAAAGGGCCTTCCTAAGAACTCAGTTCTGTCAGCAATAACACGTCACCATATAACAATTCTTTAATATTTAACAGGCTCCACCTCATGTACACAACTAAGTGCCAATCATGTACACAACACTAAAGCAGATCTAATGCACCTGTGCTAGTCCTGACGTTGTGTGGATGAAGAAGTGTTATACGACTGTGGGAGCGGCCAGAGCTTCCACTTTTATCTTGGTTCCTGTGTACTGAAATGATGTGCAGCTAGTGCCTCAGAAGAGCATTGTGATTTTGGATTCACTTGATGTCAGAGCAGTGGACGGACAATGGTCACTCTGGACTTTAAAGCGTGCACATTACCTGTGGGTATAGTGCGGGTGCTCGAAGTAATCCTCACCTGCATCACTTTCAGCCTGGTGGCCTCAGGTTACCACAACCCAGATGCCTTCTGGATATGGTGCATGTTCACCTGGTGTTTTTGCTTCTGTCTCTCGGTCCTCATTCTCTTTTTGGAATTCAGCTCTCTTAACTCCAAGCTGCCCATCTCCTGGGAGGACTTCACCTGTGCGTTTGCTATGCTTGCTACTCTCATGGTATGTTCTGAATTCTTAAATTTATATATATATATATATATATATATATATGGTATCTCTGACTTATAACATATTTTAACTGCACACCTTGAGCTAAAGCTACAGTATGAATTGTGCCTTACATTGTTTTGTATCCACACAGCTCCTGGCCGCTTCCATTATCTACCCCGTAAACTTCACCAAGGCCAACAGCCCCACACAGATCGGTGCCAGCGTGTGCTCCTGCTTGGCCTTCCTCTTGTATGCCATCGAGGTGGGGCTGACTCGGGCTCGCCCTGGGGAAGTCAGTGGCTTCCTCTCCACTGTACCGGGACTCTTGAAAGTCCTTGAAGCATTTGTCGCTTGCATTATCTTCATCTGCTTGGACTTCAGACAGTACAAGCTGTATGCAGGCCTCCAGTGGTGTGTGGCGGTCTACTGCATCTGCTTTATCTTTGCACTTCTCATTATTCTCTTCACCATCTGTCGACTGCTGGCTCTATTCCCTGCACCTTTTGACAAAGTCTTATCATTCGTAAATGTGCTGGCAGTGCTCATGTATATTACAGCGTTGGTAATCTGGCCACTCTACAGCTTCAAGAACAATTCCAGGCCCGACTCTTGCAACACTATTCATGGATGTCTATGGAATAAGCTAGCAGTGATCTCTTTCATGACTTGTGTCAACCTGATCGTGTATATTGTGGATACGTTTTACTCAATGAGGCTGGTTTTTTTTGTCAGTCGAACATAGAAAGAAAGGATGATGACTAAATATAAAGAATTATTTCTGCTATTTGAACACTTGTTAGTGTAAAAGTTGGACCTGGACTAACCTCGCTAATGTATATGATGTTTGCATAGGTGTGTCACTCCACCCACAATGGAATGTCCAATACATATCACAATTTTCAAACTCCTACTGTTTCTGTTCATGCATTCTTACAATAAATTCTGCAGTAATAAAATCCCTTGACACAGTTTTACAATGCAGCTATATTGGTCCGCCCAGTGTTTATTAACCTTTATTATCAATGGGCTTTTGCAAATGCATGAATCATAAAATATACGTCTGAATGACATCACTGACCGATTAAAATCATTCCGTGAATAGATTATAGTGGATATACTATATATGGGCATACTGCGTGTGAACTAAAGTATTCCTTATGGTTTAGCAGTTACACTTTAAAGAGAGCAGTGGTCCAGTTCTTGGAGCCGTCATGATCAAAGTTGAAGGCTCGAGATGATTTTGAAATGACTTTCAAAAAGATTTTCATTGTATTTCACTGAATACTCAAATTTGACACAAAATATCAAATAACACTAACAAATACTCAGATGCAACACACCAGAATGGGTTTGGGAACGCCTGGCTCAGTTCATTCACAAGATCTAAGCTTCAACTGGATGTTTCAGTCTTTGTTACACTACTGAGATTTTACTTTTTTGCCATTTCGCCCAGCCCTATGAGCAAAGAATTGTTTTATGGATATATTTGAATGGACAGAGAACTGATACAAGCTCAAGGGTGTGGCACGAATCATTATTTTGAGATTTCAGTCTCGTTTTGAATGAACTTGTCTCATTTGTATGAGGACGATAGGTGTGGGTGGAAGAGGACAATAGTCCACTCGTGTGTTTGGAGGACACGATAACTCCCACCAATCACCAGTATGAAACAGGGCCATAAACAGAGATAAGGCTGAGATGCTGCATTTGAACAGCCCACAGTGCATTTTGAGTTTCAGTTTCAAACACTGTCTTCTTTGCATTTGACTTAGGATACATGGATTTCATGATCAGGACTAGCTCTGGGACATTTGCAGGCTTTTTTTTGTTGAAACATGGAGCTTGAACTTGTTTGAACATCTCTAACCGAACAATCCCAATAACTTTGACAATGCTTGGTGTAAATGTACGGGCGCTCACTCAACCTGTGGGCATCTTGCGAATCTTTGCCTCAATTTTAACGTGCACAACCTTTAGTCTAGTGGCATCGGTCGGATACATCGACAACTCGTACTGGTCATGGTGCATGTTCACCTGGGGTTTCTGCTTCATCGTCACTCTCCTCATCATTATCTTGGAGTTTACTACAATACACAGCAAACTGCCTTTTGGATGGGACGACTTCATTGCTGCCTTTGCGATGCTGGCCGGTCTCATGACATTCACTGCATCCATCATCTACTCAGCCTTCTTCACCTCTGGAAATGCAGCAAATAGACAACGCCAGATCGGGGCTTGTGTCGTCTCTTGGGTTTGCTTTTTACTATACGTTGGCGAGGTTGTTCTCACCAGGCTTAAGCCACAAGGGGAGCACATCGGTTTCCTCTCCACAGTGCCTGGTATCTTGAAGATGCTTGAGACATTCATTGTATGCATAATCTTTACCTCTTTGGAGCTAGGCCAGTACTCCAGCAGTCCAGAGCTGAAGTGGTGTGTGTCAGTGTATTCGTTGTGCTTTATTTTTGCCATCTTCATAATTGTCATCTGCACTGCTCAGCTGACGTCATTTATACCGGTCTCAGTGGAGATATTGGTGATCATCTACAACTTTACTGCGGCTTCAATGTACTTGTCCGCTATGGTTCTGTGGCCACTCTACAGTGTCCGGAATAATCCCAAACCTTCGGCTTGTGGTCCCCTGTGTCCATGGGATAAACTTGTAGTGGTCACTGTGATGACAGTTTTTAATGCAATTGTATACATGTTGGACAGTGCCTATTCCATTTACAGGGTGTTTTTTGTTGGAAGAGAATAACGATAATGTAAAGATATTATGTTTGGTTGCATAAAATTTGGTCAATGATTAAACAGCTATAATAAAAGTGTGTGGCTGATAACAAACATTGCATTGATAGCCCAATTAAAACATAAGAATGATCTTTTATGTGCTGTTTTCTTTTTCTACTCTTTGTTATAAAATTATTACTCTTGGCCTTTAAATGTTTATATCGTCTGTGCAATAAAGGTAAAAGGTATACATGAAAAAGATAGTGATACTCTGGGTCTTTACAAATATAGATCGATGCTTCACACCTGACTGCCATCTTTGTCCAGCTCCTGCAACCTCACATTTATGCCACTAGATGTCACTGTCTGAACAAGTAAAGTGGTCTCTTGCTGATCAGAGATTAACATTTATAGTCTATGGATAAGAGTAAGGTAACTATTGCATGTTAAATCCCACACCTGACCGCTGGGGGCGCCCTGAATTCTTTGAATGAGCTTTCTGAGCACAATTTTTGTCCGATGAAGTTAGAAATGAATTCAGAAATACAGTGTATGACCCTGAATGTATCTGGACAGATTGGAGATATAACATTTTCAAGAAAAAGTTAGAAATTCTTTACCGTTTTCATGCGAGGCAGTGGGAAATTTCTCGATGTTTGATGCTCTCTTGGCCACAGGTTCAGACCTACAGAGCTGAAACTCACATCACTTCGACCCTGTTTATACGGAGGCGCTGCGCAGACGTTGCCAAGCTATTAACAGAAACAACCAGGCTCCTTATGCAAATTTCACAGCGTTCATACGAGGATCAAAAAAGATGTAGTTCTAGCGCCGGCCAGTAAGTAAGTAAGTAAGTAATTTTTATTTATATACCGCCTTTCACAGACCAGAGTCATAAAGCGGTTTACAATTGTTATTATTTTTGGGAATTTGTCTCTCACTCCACACAGAGATGGGAGCGGGGTCGCCAGTACAGGAGGCGCATGCCAGACCTATTGTGCATGTTTTTAGTGGTAGGGGAAACCGGAGTACCCGGAGGAAACCTACGCAGCCACCGTACCGCCCAGTAGTGGGCAGAGGAACTTTACAAAACGACACACGCGAGCTCCAGCCCCCCCCCAAGCATTGTCAAGCATTTTCACCTGCTCACATCATTATTATTATGTTTATTTTTCCTTTTGCACCTGTTATCCTGAATTTGACGACTGCCTACAGATAATTGTTTAGGCGTTGCATCACAACAGGTCATCAGGCTACATATAAAACATGAGTCACTGAGAATCACACCTCCTCGTCGGCTTTTTGTGCTCATTATCTTCCATTAAACATCTGCTGGAGGTGGACACTGACGGCCATTTACATGCATCCGCCATGCTTCTCTTGACCTATGCGGTGGTCAGAATATACCAGTATATGTTATTATATATTATTATATATATATCAACGCTTCAACATTGTGTCTGTTCAATACTTTATTTAATTTGTGCATACTTTTTGAGAGCAACAGATTCAGAACCCATCTGGTGAATCTAATAATGTTAATATATTTTTCTGGAGGACAATGGTTGACATATGCCTTGTCTTATGTGATTGGATAACCCACTGCTATATTTCTACATAACAGTGAGCCCTGTCTGACAACGTGACACATATTGTGATATGTACATTTTGTTTTCACTTCACATTCATCGCTGCAATTTTGGTTTTCACTCATTTGGGAAAAGAGTTATAACTCTGAATGGGATATTCATGATGATTTACTTAATTTTAGATGTAAAAAATATTTTAGATCAAGATTCAGATCAAGATTAAAATTAGCTTACTTCTTAAAGCACAACTCAGCACCTGGTGTCTGAATAGAGCACAGCACAAATATGTTTGAGCAGATTGTGTACCGTATACAACTGCAGAGCGGGGCCATGAATGGCCATCGCTGATGTAAACCTACAGTACGTGTCAGATAATGTTATTGGTCGTTGAAGAGAGACTGTCCTCAACACTGCAGGTATTGTTTAGTTGGTTCTCTTTCGAAAGAAAATACCCCAAAAGAAAGCGTTCATCTACATGTTCAACAAATGAAACATGTTTTATCAAAATCAATGCCTCGTGTTAATTTCCTATATTAACACAGACAGACCTGGACTCGAAAACAACCTGAAGGGTCTGTGTTCTTCTCATACCTTTAACTTAAGTGAATATGTTTCTCTGACAGCAGACATGGAGAGCCATTGATTTGGTGAGATCAGAGCCACCAGGCAGCCCCATAGGCACCAGGCTACTTCAGACTATTGATACATTTTCTCAATGGTGAAGCGCAGTGGAGGGCAGCTTCTCCAACCCCTGGGCCTTGCACAGATCTCTTACATATCCACTGGGAGTTATTTTTGGGATCAATTGTTCATTTTCCTTATGTTTTAAATAGACCAGCAGTATCCACATTAAACCCCTTTAATAGTTTTCTCAACCATTTGGTGGAATACCTTTTGAGTCACGATACACGGAGCTTGGAACTAAAATCTACCTCTTTGGGGAATCACACTTAGTTTTATGCCCTTTTACATCAAACTGCATCTCTTTGGTAAAGGCCTGTAATAAAAAGTGCTCCTACATCAAAAGTACCATTGCTCTCTTCAAGGAGTGAATGTTGACAGGATAAAGGCTCTTTGTCGTTACTATTGTATTTTTTTGTTGTTTAGAATCTAAACATAATAATCTTGTTACAGTCGTCATATTCAGACCAAGCTGTTTTTACAATGCAAGACATTACAAAGGGGTAATTAAAGAAAGCTTTCTGAAATGTTGTACTTATATCTTTATCTGAAAATTAAAAACAAATTAAACATATCTTGGAAATGGGATGTCACCTTGATGGCAGGACCCTAAATGCCATTGCGCTTGGAGCCTTAATGAGCCATGCTGTTGTCGTGGCGATGTGAGAACCACACATATTACTGTCTCTATCACACAGCCGAGTGGCACTGTTTACTATCATGTCAGAAACCCATAAACCTGTCTTTTCTCTCTGGTTTCAGCCCGTCATATACTCCCATAAACATGTAATCAATGTTACATCAATCCCTGTTTAGATATTGCATTTGTAGAGTCCCCAATGAACAGAGATACTTGAGGCTGTGAGATTGTTTTTTTTGTCCAGTAATTTGAAGCAACAACAACCACAACACTGTGATTCATATAGCTTTTTTTGTTTTTTTACTGTCCCTGCTCACACCAGTTGAGAGAAGGAAGTTAATAACATTTTCCCAGTGGGTGGGACTTTCTCATGCAAAGAGGGTTGTGGCCGTTCACATAAATACTCTTGGCTTGACTGTCATACATGCTCCCTTCAGAGGATTTTGTAAAGAATGCACAAGTGTTCCCAAACTCATGAGGAAAATGAGCCTCCCGGGATCAACTCAACTTAAGGAAAGCTAATCGCAAAGAGTGCCTGCAGAGAAAGAGGCAGTCAAATTTGATCAGTTTTTCTGAAGGGAAAGAAGCCTGAGCTGAACCAGAGGATGAGGAGCATGGAATGACAACAGGTTTGTGCAGAATAAGCCTTTAATTCTTATATATTAAAATATCATATGATTTAAAGCGTCATATTTTCAGTTTTATCATGTTTATTAAGTGGGTTTTTCACTTACACCATGTGCGTTACAGTGCTTGCAGTATATATTTACTGTATCTATTTTGCATCCATACCAAGATACATTTTCCTGCATTATGGACCACAATAACATTTAACCCTGGCAGTACTTAATGCACTTATTTTTTGACATAATGTTCTTTTTGCATGAGATAGAAAATTGAGAATTTTTGCTTCTAACTACCGAACATTACATTTAGCCTGATCAAAAGCAGACTACACATTCAGTTATCTGAACACAGTCGATACAGGTGGCTTTACTCCAGCTTTGTGTCTCATATACATTTGCTGTGTTATAAAAGCATGGGAGGGAGGGAGTTCATCTATAATGGTGAAAAAGTAGACATTTTATTTGTATAGCACATCTCAAACCAATCTCTTTTCAAGGGACTGTGTGACATGATATTATCTACACTCACTAGATAAATTGCCACCTTTGAGATGGTCTTGATGTATTTGATGAACATTTTAGTAAAGACACATTGTTCCTCAGCAGTATTCAGTTTGATGGAATTGGTCACATATTTATAACCAAACATTGCACCTACTGTCCCTGATTGGTTGTGTGAACGCCATCCCCCGGTGTCTAGAACCTCGTTGTGTTTGTTTTCCCAACAGCCTGCTGCGGGCCACACGTCACGTCCTTCATGTTTATGTCCATGGTTCACTGCTTGCAAACGTCACACCATTTATTTGTAAAACACCTTTCATAGCCTGACCAAAAAAAGGCCAAAAGACTGGTTAATATTAGGTCATGCACTCGCCAACTGGAGCCTCCAGAGCTGCCCCCGGCTCATCGCACATTATGGGATGAATTGTGAGTCATTGTGCTAAAGCCGGCTCAGTGTTCAGATACAGCAGACTACAGGGAGAGAGAACTATAGGGACTTATTCAAGATCAATTCAAATCTATTTCCATCATAGTATTGTATTGTATGGTATTGTATTGTAATTTATTTCAATTGTATTGTTCTTATTTTTTAAATTTTGTATATATATATATATATATATATATATATATATATATATATATATATATATATATATACATACATACATATATCCATACTCCTACAACAGCTGAGAATCTGATTTGCAGCCTTTAGTGATTTAGTGAACTGGACAACACTTTAATGTTGTGTCAGATACCGTAGGCGTCCATATTGAATTACTCCGGATCAATCACCATTTACCTTGTCTTGTCTTGCTTCCTTTTGTTTTCTTAGTGAATGTCTGCTTTTTGGCATGGTATTAATAAACATTAATACATGTCAATACATGTTTTTATTCTCAGAGGTGCCTCTTCAATCTTCAAATCCGATTAAGATGGATTATAATTCGACATTAACTGACAATGATACCGTTACATCTTCCGCCCCCAATAATTACACTGGGACATGCAACGACAACAATAACTCCTCTCATGTTCCTCAAATCCCAGTGGAAACCACCACCCTGGTCACTGCCGCCATCTTCATCATTGTTTTTATCGTGGGTCTCCTTGGAAACACACTGGTCATTTACGTAGTGGTCCGGTACACCAAGATGAAGACTGTTACCAACTTGTACATCCTGAACCTGGCCCTGGCCGATGAACTCTATGTTTTTGGGATCCCTTTTTTGTGCACTCAAAATGTCCTGTCCTACTGGCCGTACGGGGAGTTCCTTTGTAAAGTCTACATGACAGCTGACATCATGAGCCAGTTCACGTCCACGTTCTGCCTGACGATGATGAGCATAGACCGATACCTGGCCGTGGTTCACCCCATGAAGAGCGCAAAGTGGAGAAGACCTCAGGTGGCAAAGATACTCAATGCTTTGATGTGGGTCGTGTCCTTTATCATTGCGTTGCCGGTCACCATTTTTTCCAACATTCAAGACAGCTTCAACACCTGCAACGTCACCTGGCCCGAGCCGATGGACCTGTGGTCCAACGTCTTCATCCTCGTCACCTCCATCTTGGGTTTCTTTGGTCCAGTGGTGGTGATCTGCCTGTGCTACCTGCTTCTTGTCATCAGGGTAATGGAAAGCAGGCTTTTATTCTACTGTATTTAATTATGCGGCACTTGTAATTGAATAAAGTTATTCTTCTAATGGTTTCAGGTGAGGTCAGCAGGTGCAAGAGCTGGGCTGAAAAAGCGGAGAAAGTCAGAGCGTAAGGTGACCCGCATGGTGGTGGTAATTGTTGTAGTGTTTATCCTGTGCTGGCTGCCATTCTTTACCACCAACATCGTCAACCTGTTTTATACAATCCCTGAGAGCAGCGCTAATGTGGCTATTTACTTCATCCTGGTCATTTTAACCTACGTCAACTCCTGCTCCAACCCCATCCTCTATGGCTTCCTGTCCGAAAACTTCAAGCAGAGTTTCCAGAAAGTGCTCTGTGTCCATAAGTTCACCGAGGTCGTCATGGTGGACCAAGCCCTCACACCGACCCTGGATCGAACCAGGATAACCCTAGTTTCATCCGAAGGACAGGCAAAGAATGGTACCATGGCAAGTCAGGTGAGGATTGAATATGCTCTGTTTTTTTTCATATGTATTCTAACAGTGCAATGTGTTATGAGCTCAATTGTTATTATTTATGTTGATCCAAACTCAAGTTTTAAGTGATTGGTGCATTATGTCAATTTATGATCAAAAAGAAAGTAGAAATGTTTGCATATCAGACCTTGCACCTTTTCCAATGTGGTTTTAATGCAAATGGTAAAGGTAAAGGTGCACTTTATTAATCCTCGTAGGACAATTCATCCTCTGCATTTGACCCATCCTAATGCCACTAAGGCTTACGTCAGGAGCATTGATCGCCGTAGTAACAGCGCCCGGGAACCCATCTCCAGATGTTGATGCTCGGCTTGGTCAGGACTACCAGAGCTGGAGGATTTAACCTAGTGTGCATGTTTTTAGTGGTAGGGGAAACTGGAGCACCCAGAGGAAACCTACGCAGGCACGGGGAGAACATGCAAACTCCACTGTTCCGGCCCGGATTCGACCCCAGGACTTTCTTGCTGAGAAGCGAGAGTTCTATCCACTGGCAAGATTCAAGATTCAAATTCTTGAATTTTTAGTGGTCAGATTGGTGCCGTTTCTTTCCACCACTGTCGAGAGGAGAAATAAAGGAAAACCCAAAAAACAGAAATTCAAAAAATACTGATTTAATGAAGGAAATAAATAAGGTTAAAAAATATATATATATCAAACAAAACTCTACAGACCAGCACCAAATGAGGAGGAGCACGGGGTACATAAAGACACAGAGAGACACAGGTGAAACATAAGTCAAAGTAAAACAGAACCACAGAGAACAGAAGTCGAATTAAAACCAAGTACAAAACAACAAACAAAAGCACCATGACAACCACAGTGGTCTCTATGATTCCCCCTCCTACACAACATGATCCTGGAGCACTGTAGACACAACCCCGATCACCACTGCCCTCTCTTATAGACACTAAACTGACTTTTTTTTACGTAAAAATAACTTGCATGAAGCACCTTTGATAATATCCATCCAACTAGTTCCTCACTCTCAAAACAGTTTGGTGTTTTCATGTGCATATATAAGGACTCACATTAGACATAAAAGTGAAAAAAGGGAGAACCACCACCACTCAATCAGCTCATTCCAAAGTTTCAAAAAGAGAATCAGAGGGTGTTTTTTTTATAGTACTGAGAAGATGACATATTCAAATTCAAGTTATGAATACAGTTTTAATTGACTTCACACTCAATGTTGTTTGACAGGAGTAGGACACATAAATCTCTTTGTCAATGCCTAAAATAAGCCTAGAATTTTGTTTTTGTTTTTATTAAACTATAATTAAATGATCCTATGCTTGCAGCAACACTAAAGCTAATGTTTTTAAGACAATATCCTATACTTAAGTCAAGTGGAACTAGAGTAAGGTGTTCATAATTTACTCATCATTCAATCATTTCTCTGCCAAATCCTCTGTTGTATTTTTCAGTGTGTCCAAATGGAGAGGATCACTCAACCCAACAACAAACAACTGGAATCCTCCAGGTTGTAAACTGTAAAGCTGCTTGGACCCTTCCACCTTTTTATTGGACTGGAGATGCACCCTTTAGCCTATTTGACAGAAGAACTCACACTGTCATACTGTCTGTCTGTGATGTATCTGTTATTCAACTAGATGTAAATGTAGTGATGTTAGAAATCTTTAACTTCCTCCATGTGTTGGGTCTTTCATGTAGCATTTTCGCAATTTGTTTTGGTTATTTGCACACCGTCCAGTTCTTCAGTTTCATTCTTCATTTTAGTTTGTTTGCTACATTTCGATGATTGTATGTGGTAGAGGTTTGAATATTTCAGTACCTGGAGTAGTAAAGGGCAGGTATCATGCTCCATCTCTGAAAAGAACTACTGTGTATTAAGTGCATTAGGTGAAAAATGACTATCACAGATGTAATGATCAGGATTATAGGATGGAGATCTGGAGTAAGTCACATGGTCCGTTTCAGCCCCTATTGCAGGTGTGTTTACTGACAGCGCTGGTTGTGTAGGGGTAGAAACACTCCATGACTGAGTCGGGATACCTCAGTGTTTATGGTCACGCTGCTCTCAATGTCATTTCAAAGAACTGCTTTTAGCATTTTGTTCACTAGAGAAGAAATGTTTTGAATCACTTCCTGGAAATAGGTCAGGCCTAGTCTTTGCTCTCTGTTGCCCTCGTGTGCGTTCTCCTTGTTACCCACATCCACAATTACACGTACTTGCAGTAGTTGTTTGTCAGCAGCTGCTTTGTAAAGTCCATCCATCCATCCATTTTCTACCCTTTAATCCATTTCTGGGTCAGGGGGGTGGCAGTCAGAGATGCCACCCAAGTCTCATAGCACCAGCCCCTCACTGACCCTCTGCAGGTGGTGAGTCCACAGGAGGACGGCTGCTCTCTGAGTGTGAGCATAGCCTTGATCTTTCAGTGGGGGCTTTGGGCAAAGTGGGGTTAAGTGTCTTGCCCAAGGACACAACGACAGCAGTCATCAGTGGGAGTTGGTGGAGAAGGTGTAGAGGTGGGAATTGAACCCACGACCTTCAGGCCTGAAGGCCAATGCTCTACCAACTGAGCTACTGTCGCCGCCGCTTTGTAAAGTCTTTATCCCTTAATTATCACTTGCAGACACAGAACGGTCATCTCCAACTATACACTGCAAGAATTCATTTTTCTTCAGCTGGACCTAAAAAATTGCAAAATATATATATCATATGCACCCCCATGTGGAATGATAATTGGATTTGGATGATAACAATAATAAATGTCAACATTTGGAAATGTAACTGCTTTTACTTATGTTTCATTTTTGTCTTGAAACATTAAACTATTATTTTTTTTAACGTTAATTTTGTTGCAGTTGTAAAAAGTGTCTCTTTTTTGTCTGAATTACATCTTGCTTCTTCTCAGGCCTGACCTGGAGCTGATACATGGTGGAAAATACCAAGCACATCACTGTGGAAACAAAACATATGTAGTTTTTATTAAGGCAGCCAAGACTAAAATACTCTTTTCACTGTTATCATTCTATGCTTCACAGTCTTCTCATGACGAACTGGCCACTCTCAAACTGCTTAAAATGGGAACAAACATACATTTGTTGTGTGATACAACCAACCACAAGTAAAAGAAGACATTTAAAAAGAACACCTCAAATCCACTTCATTTGTTGTTTCATGGTCTCACTGACATGAGGTTGTGTTTTATGTCTCGAGGTACAAATAATCAGTAATTCAGCCTCTACCTCAGTCCTATTTGTTTGAAAGAAAACACTCCACAGCAAATAATGTAAAGAAATGACATTTTGATCATATACAGTATAACTTTATGCTTAAATCCACACACCACTTAAATCTACAGACCTCACCATCTACAAGGTCAATGAAAAACAAGAGCACGAGGTTGTGTTACTGATTGAATTTTTCTAAAAAACACTTTCTAAGAACAGACTTAAGCACATGTCTCATGAAAACCGAAAAAGGATTTACAAATGTGTATCTTCAGTAGCTCTCAGAAAAAGCTCTATAAAACTTGTTATCTGCATTATTCAGCTGAAGAGAGAAAAACTACAAAGATATTCTACATACAGCCCTTCCAGTAATAGTTAATAAATGTCAGTTAATGCTGGAAACAGTATTTACGTTTATGATTAACTAAACAGTGAAACAGAAAGATATACAGTGTAAAAAGTGATAAGAAATATGTCCAAAAATGCTTGAATGCATTTTGACTTTAATTAAACAACAACAAAAATGTCTTATAAAAATCTCAATTCAAGATGAAACCCCATTTATACCTCAACAGATAATGTTTTTTTCAGTGTTTTCACCAAAATTTGTCACTAATATTGTGTTTCCCATCACACGGACGCAAACCGTTTTCTTAAATAACACAAGTTGACTGAGGAGATGCTCCACGTGCTGTGTTTTAGCATTTTTGTCACTTCAATGATGCAATTTGGGCGAGCGGCTGTACAATATACTCCAGTGCAGGAGGATGAGTCCACAGCAGGGGGCACATTAGTGTCGACTGTGATTACAGACAGAGCAGAAGCACACTTAAATACCAGCACCACATCCGAGTGCCGCAGCCAATTAACTTGAGGCTCAGACGCTGCGAGGGATTCTGTTTGCTTTTATCTGCAACGTTCCAAGTCGATAATATTTAAAATTATTAGTATTTTGCAAAGATTGGTAATTACGCTTCATCAATGGATCGTCCATGAATACAAAGCCAGTTTTCGAGTCTTGACGATGGAAGGAGCATCTGAAATATGTTGGTGATGCGTCTCCATGGCAACAAATTGAGGCACCTCTCAGAGTCACATCCTCCTTCATCAAATACAACAACCATGTCACATTGTTTCCCTGGACTCTGCAGACACATGCATCTTTCTTCATTTCCTTTTCAAATGTGGTTTTTATTATTCAATGATTTAAGTTTTAGATTTTGAAATGGTTTTTGGTGTAATTTAAGATATCAATTTTCAATTTGTTAGGATTTTCACTATTCCCTCAGCATGGTATTTCATTATTACTTTGTTTATATTTATTCAAATTGAAGAGTTCGCTTGGCATCTTGGTCACCGCAACATCCAACACTAACAGCAAAGTGGAAGGAGAAATAATGTTCTATGTGACAAAAAGTAAAAGTAAGGTTTAGTTCAGTGATTTGGACATGAGATCCTGATTATACGACACCACAATAACTTGACAATGTAATGACATCCATGTAACTAGTTCCTGGCTCTCAAAACCGTTGTATCACTGCTTTTCACATGCATGATTATTGGCAGCCCTTTCTCAGCCAATCAGCTCCCAGTATGTTAAAGATAAACTGTTTTCTAGTAAGAGGAATACAGCATACAAGATACAAGAATTTTATTTGCCATTAGCAGTAAAACCACATTGGAAAAACTGTGCAAGACTACCCTAGTGTGTACCAGACAGAGAAGATGGCACACGCTAGAGCTCTTGCAACGGCGCCATCTTTACGGCGCCATGCGAAAACAGCATGTTGTGATTTGATTGTTTTTCCCCACAAAATGTTACTTTAAGAAAACTCTTTCTGTTGAGAAAAACTATGTATTTATGAAACAAAACAGTCAGGTACTCCATCAAACAGTAAAGTTCTGACCACCTTTAATGCAACATGTTTTTACACAATAAGGTTTTGATATAAGTATATAAGCCTTGAGATGGCCTCTGCAGTTAGATTAGAAAGACAATTTGGATTCCAACTTTAACATGATTGCCTAAAAAACTGAATTGCTTTGAATAACTTTACACAAGTACAAGACACTTTCTGAATAGCACTAGGCTCTCAGGAGTTGTGCAGAGCTTATGAGAGTGTGAGAAAACGATACACACAACGATCAACCACATTGGAGATAGTGTTAGTTCCATAGTGTTAGTTCCAACAAAAACAATCTCCTCCCGTACTCTTCATAGTCCTATACAAGCCACCGCAGTCATGTCACAGTTTCATTGATAATTTTACCGAGTTGCTTTCAGGTGTATGCACAGATTTTGATAGTTTAGTTATTACAGGTGATTTTAATATTCATGTGTATAATGTTAATGACAGAAATGCAAAAGAGCTGAGTTCTTTACTTGATACCTTTGGTCTCACTCAGCATGTGAGTGGCCCCACCCACAGCAGAGGGCACACTCTAGACCTGTTAGTTACTAAGGGGGTGAATATTTCAAATGTAAACGTCGTCGATGTTTGCGCTTTCGGATCATTTCTGTGTATTTTTTGACATGTGTTTCACTAACAAACCACCAGTGGACTCTTTATGGGAATGATAAACTTTGAAAATGCATTGTATTCTACTGTAGATGAACTGTTTAACTCTGTCACCTCTAGTGTTTTGAATGTTTTGGATACCGTTGCCCCTGTGAAGGTTAAAATAGTGAAAAATAAGCAGAAGGCGCCGTGGGCTAAAGCAGACTCGGTCAGAGCACTGAAGAGAAAGTGCCGGAGGGTCGAGCGGAAGTGGCGCAAGTCCAACCTCCAGGTTGATTACAAGATATTCAAGGATAAGTTGTGCGACTTTAACCGGGTGCTACGTAGTACGAGAGAAAGGTATTTTTCTGAAATGATTGAAGGCTGCAGTAACAACCTGCGTGTTCTGTTTTCAACAGTTAATAGATTAACAAACCCCCCTGTTCAAATGCCATTAGAGCTAACTTCCAAACGTAAATGCAATGAGTTTGCACACTTTTTCAATGACAAAGTGTGCAAACTTCAAGGTTTCAAGGCATCAAAAACGCCATTGTCTCCAATCCACAGATAAACCATCCAACAGCCAGAAAGGCTCTTTGTGCTAACTCACTTTGCACCTGTAAAATGATCAAACTACTGTCCAAGAGATAATCTCCAGTTTGAGCTCCTCCACATGCAGCCTGGATGTACTACCCACTAGATTTCTGAAGTCTGTTCTGAGCAGTCTGTTACCTTCACTCACACAGATAGTAAACATGTCCCTTCATTCTGGCCCTGAAAACGGCAGTCATCAGGCCCCTGCTAAAAAAGAGCAGTCTGGATGCCACTGTACTTAACAACTATCGTCCCATCTCAAATATGCCATTTATGGGGAAAGTCCTTGAAAAAGTTGTCTACCTACAGCTTACTTGATTTCTTATAATCAACAACTCATTTGATATGTTTCAGTCCGGCTTTAGACCCCACCACAGCACTGAGACTGCTCTCGTCAAGGTTACAAACGATATCCGGCTGAACACTGACGCAGGCAAAGTCTCAATCTTAATCTTGTTAGACCTAAGTGCTGCCTTTGACACTGTCGACCATGAGATCCTCTTACAGAGACTAGAGGACTGGGTTGGCGTCGCTGGCACCGCCCTAAGTTGGTTTAGGTCTTACCTTGAAGACAGGAAGTACTTTGTGGACATTGGAAACTGTGTCTCAGATCATATGGCCCTGACCTGTGGAGTACCACAGGGGTCGATCCTGGGACCTCTTCTGTTCAATCTCTACATGCTCCCGTTAGGTCAGTTAATACGCAGAAACGAAGTTTCCTATCACAACTATGCAGACGACACTCAGATCTATGTCTCACTGAATGCAGGAGAACATGGACCAGTGGACTCACTCCTTCACTGTATCCAACAGATCAGTGAGTGGATGCAAAACAACTTCCTTCAGCTAAACGCGGACAAAACTGAAATGATTGTCTTTGGTCCCCAGAAACAAAGAGAGAGCGTCATCTGTCACCTCCAGTTTCTCTCCCTAAAACCTTCAAACAAGGTCAGAAATCTAGGGGTAATACTGGACTCAGACTTACATTTTAATAGCCACATCAAATCAGTAACATCAGCAGCTTTTTACCATCTAAAAAACATTGCCAGGATCAAAAACATAGTGTCTAAAGCAGACTTGGAGATTCTTACCCATGCATTTGTCTCCATTAGGTTAGACTACTGCAATGGCCTGCTCACAGGTCTGTCCAAACAGGCTGTAAAACAGCTGCAGTACATTCAAAATGCAGCAGCTCGAGTCCTGACTAGAACCAGGAAGTAAGACCACATTAGTCCGGTCCTCAGGTCTCTGCACTGGCTTCCTGTGGCTCAGAGAATAGACTTTAAAACAGCTCTGCTTGTGTACAAGTCTCTCCATGGCCTCGCACCAAAATATATTTGTGACATGTTAGTCCCATATGAACCAGCCCGGACTCTGAGGAGCACAGGGACTGGACTCCTGTTAGTGCCCAGAGTCAGAACTAAACATGGGAGGCTGCTTTTCAGATTCATGCTGCTAAAATCTGGAATAATCTCCCTGAAGATGTGAGACAGGCCTCCTCTCTGACAATGTTTAAAACCAGGTTAAAAACGGTTCTGTTTAGCTGTGCATACAACTGAGGGATTTTATATTTTTATCTTTCTTTTTAATGTACTGTGATTATTTATGATTTTAATGCTTTCTTGTTTTGTTCAGCACTTTGAGTTGCCTTGTGTATGAATTGTGCTATACAAATAAACTTGCCTTGCCTTGCCATATGGCCTCCTGCAGTGACAACCACACATAAACCACGCATTGTCTGAAGAGCCTGCATGAAACAAATGATGCTTCATGACCTGATTGCAGAAAGTGATTTATCAAATGGAACAGGTGACAAGATTAAAACATCTCTCGGTGAGCCAGGTTTAAACAGTCCAGAGAGAAGCATATGCAGCGTGCCATGAAAAGACATGTTCACAGCACTGTTTGTCTATGAGCCTCATCAAATGGGATTAAACAGGCTGCACACCAGTAACACATGAAACTGTTTGCCATGGGACAGCTTTATCCCATGGCAACCGAAGGATTCAACAAATGTACACAAAATTCCCACTTTTTTCTCCTATCATTAGTCTGGTCTACATACAAGATTTTACGCCTGCTTGAATTGTTATTTCCTCAATTCAACTGTCAAATCTAATCTAAAAATCCATTTAACAGGCTATTTGGAGGACAGAGGACATCCTGTACATGATCCCTCAGCTGCACTCTAGTGGAGAAAGAGACCATTACAACAAGTATATAGTGCAATACTGCATTTCATAATGTCAACTGAACGTTGAGAGATATCGATATATTGATATTGAATAATTTACAGCTAGCTAAGAAACATGACAGCTACTTAAAGTGTAGCATATTTTGGTTTTTTTTTCCCTTTGTGCTCTAACTGTCCTATATGTGCACTGCAACATTGAAATTTCCCCACTGTGGGACGAATAAAGGGTTTCTTATCGTATCTTATCTTCAGGACAGACAGACGGGCAGATAAGGAGAGACAGACTGACAGGGAAGCAGAAAGAAAGAAAGAAAGAAAGAAAGAATTATTATTAGTCCGAGATGAAAATGTTGCAGTGAGCACGTTCCGTCGCTGGGAGGCAGTGTCGTACAGATGTTGCTTCAGTTTGCGTCATGTCCAATATAATACATCCATGGTCATGTCAAACTCCAGACCGTACATATGTAAACTAGAGCCATGTGCCCACGGGCTGCTCCGTGAACAGAGGAGGTGCTGTTGCGCTGTGGCGTGACCCAGACCGCATTCAGTCCAGTTGGTTAAATGTGGAGGGTTCAGCAGTGGTGAGTTTGTGGACTTTGTGAGAGTTGATGGAGGAGACTTCGCCATGTTCGCGCGTCTTGACGTTCACATGTTTCATACTGGATCTTTGACTGTAGATTTGGTTATGGTTGCATTTTAGAATGAACTAGAAAGCCATCTCCTGTCGTTGAGGCGCTGCTGTTCTTTATGGTTAGACTTGTGTGTAGGAGGAGAAGATATGCTTTCGTTATTGGGAAGTTTCCCGAAGCGCTGGCTGTGCTGAGCGCCCCGCTGTCCAAGACCTTGTTGAGCGCCTCCAAAGACTTTGAGCATGGGGGAAATGTCCAGCGAGCGAAGACCGCGGCTTTGTGTCATGACAAAGAGAGAGGACGGCTATGGCTTTCACTTGCACGGAGAGAAAGGGAAAAGTGGACAATACATTCGTAAAGTCGAGGCTGGGTCCCCGGCAGAGGCGTCCGGACTGCGCGCAGGGGACAGAGTGGTCGCGGTGAACGGAACGAACGTGGAGAGAGAGACGCACCATCAGGTAAGATCATTTACACGGTGTGGTTAGTGCATCCATGTCTACAGCCTGTCCTTAGTTCATACATGCCTAACTTTTCCATCACACACCCTCTGTAGTTTAACTGCCTCTTGTTAGACGAGTCCTTGCAGACGCTGGATGCTATAGTGCTGTTCTCTTCCCTCAAGCAACTTTCAAAATGTCGTTTGCTGAAACTATGTGAGCAATTTGTCAGGTCTATCTTTAATTTACTGCAGTACAGGGGTCTCCAACCTGTGGCTCTGGAGCTACTTGTTGCTCGCCACCTCCAAAAGCTTCCTAAAAGATTCAAAAAGTTAACACAGGATCCTGAATGATTCACTTTTGAGTGATTGCACCTCTATTTGAACTATAATTCTTTACATTAATGCAGGGATACTGTATGGTATAATGGTTTATTATGCATGTGTGTTCTCCATGATAGACAACAATAAAGACTACCAAAGAGTAGCTCTCTGCCATTTCTGTTTTACAAAAGTTGCTCTCCAATCGAAAAAGGTTGGAGGCCCCTGCTGTAGTATATTTGCTTCAGAAGATGGGGATGCACTAAAGACAACACATATATACTGTACTTTAGCTGCATGTGAAAGTCAGACCCGTCAGACCTCTGAAGCTGAGCAGGACAGGGCCTGGTTAGAGATGGGAGACCTCTGGGAACACCAGGTGCCATAGTGGGGTGGCTGTAAAGTGCCAAACTGTCGTTGTGTCCTTAGGCAAAACACTTTGCTCCATTGCCTAGAATGAGTCGGGTGTGTGAATGACTGGTGGTAGCCGGAGGAGCTGATGGCACATACTGGTTGCCTCGCTTCTCTCAGTGTGCCCCAGGACTGCTATGGCTACAATAGTAGTTTATCACAACCGTGTATGGGGTAAAAGAATAGTGACATGTGAAGCGTCTTTGAGTGTCCAAAAAAAGCGCTATATAAACCCGATGTACTATTATTATTGTTAACATTACATGCCTTGCACTATAACATACATTCATGACCTGCATTGACACTTTATTTAACTATTTACAGGTGGTCCAGCGGATCAAAGCCTTGGAGAACCAGACCAGGCTGCTTGTGGTGGACCAGGAAACACATGAATACCTGCGCAGCCTGCACCTCACAGCCACAGAGGAGATGGCGGTTCTCGAAGCCGGACCTCAGTCATCGTCCTCATCTTCTACCCCTGCTCCATCCCCTCGCCCCAGCACCCCCTCTGCCCCCTCCACACCCACCAAGAAGAGGGAAAACGGCTCCGTGGCCAAGCAGCCCGTCCAGAAGCCTACCAGGAGGTCGCCGTCAAAGGCTGCCAAGAAGGTACATGCAGATGCCTTGACATAAATGAACACATTGGAATATTGAAGTCATTATTTTCTCTCTTTGTCAGCGTGGGTAAAATGTAGGCGCTTCACTTTACCATTAACATAAAATGCACCTTCACACATTCCCATCGGAACCAAGTTTGGTGAATCGACTAATCAGCTATTGAAATCCTTCGTAAAGCTGGGGAAACTATATTTCAAACCACATAAACATGAAATATATACTAAAATCCATCAAACTAGTCCCTATACTCTCAAAACAGCTCGCTTCTATCACTAATTTTATTCCTCAGCGTTTTCAGACTTTTTTTCTCAGCCACTTTTTTTTATCAGCTCAAAAAGTGACCTACTGTATCAGAGGGCTCTTTCTTGCCGAATGTTTTCTAATAAGCTGGTTGGTTCACACAATTATACCTTTTTTCTTTCTGTTGGAACAAACACAGTACGCCAGCTTTAACTATGTTTGTCAGTTGTATAATGTGCATCAACTTGAAATCTTTTACATACAACATCCATCCATCCATCCATCCAGTTTCTTCCGCTTTATCCGTTGTCGGGTCGCGGGGGCAGCAGTCTAAGCAGAGACGCCCAGACTTCCCTATCCACACACACTTCCTCCAGCTCGTCCGGGGGGACCCCAAGGCGTTCCCAGGCCAGCTGAGAGACATAGTCCCTCCAGCGTGTCCTAGGTCTTCCGCGGGGCCTCCTCCCGGTGGGACGTGCCCGGAACACCTCCCCAGGGAGGCGTCCAGGAGGCATCCGGAACAGATGCCCGAGCCACCTCAACTGGTTCCTCTCGACATGGAGAAGCAGCGGCTCTATTCCGAGCTCCTCCCGTGTGACTGAGCTCCTCACCCTATCTCTAAGGGAGCGCCCAGCCACTCTGCGGAGGAAGCTCATTTCGACCGCTTGTATCCGCGATCTCGTTCTTTCGGTCATTACCCACAGCTCATGACCATAGGTGAGGGAGGGAACGAAGATTGACCGGTAAATTGAGAGCTTCGCCTTTTGGCTCAGCTCCCTCTTTACCACAACGGTCCAATACAGAGACCGCATCACTGCGCACGCTGCACCGATCCGCCTGTCAATCTCACGCTCCATTCTTCCCTCACTCGTGAACAAGACCCCAAGATACTTGAACTCCTCCACTTGAGGAAGGACCTCTCCACCCACCTGCAGAGGGCAAGGCACCTTTTTCCGGTCGAGCACCATGGCCTCGGATTTGGAGGTGCTGATTCTCATCCCAGCCGCTTCACACTCGGCTGCAAACCGCCCCAGTGCATGTTGCAGGTCCTGGTTCGTTGGAGCCAACAGGACAACATCGTCCGCAAACAGCAGAGATGAAATCCTGTGGTCTCCGAACCACCTCCGACCCCTGGCTGCGCCTAGATATTCTGTCCATAAATACAGTGAACAGAACCGGTGACAAAGGGCAGCCCTGTCGGAGGCCAACATTCACCGGGAACAGGTCTGACTTACTGCCGGCAATGCGAACACAGCTCTGGCTCCGGTCATACAGGGATCGGATGGCCCTCAGCAGAGGACCCCCGACCCCGTACTCCCGGAGAACCCCCCAAAGGACACCCCGGGGAACACAGTCGAACGCCTTCTCCAAATCCACAAAACACATGTGGACAGGTTGGGCGAACTCCCATGAACCCTCGAGTATCCGATGGAGAGTATAGAGCTGGTCCAGTGTTCCGCGACCGGGACAAAAACCACACTGCTCCTCCTGGATCCGAGATTCGACCATCGGCCGTAACCTCCTCTCCAGTACCTTGGAGTAGACCTTACCGGGGAGGCTGAGGAGTGTGATCCCACGATAATTGGAACACACCCTCCGGTCCCCCTTCTTGTAGAGAGGGACCACCACCCCGGTCTGCCACTCCATTAGCACCGCCCCCGATCGCCACGCGATGTTGCAGAGACGTGTCAGCCAAGACAGTCCTACAACATCCAGAGACTTTAGATAATCATACAACATTTTAAATACAAAAAGTATCAACACAAATGATCAGTCGTCAGCTGCAGCTCAATCAATATTTTATTTATTTCAATTTTGTGATTGTCACACAAAAGAAAAAGAGCAGAAAGAAGAAAAAAATTGTATGTTGCCTGCCCCTTTCTTCAAACATGTACAATTACATAAAAAAAGTACATATGGACTTCAGTACTCCTCCTTCAAACTGTTTTTATTTTATGTTATTTATCTGTTTTCAAAATTCTTTGGTTTTTTATTATATAGTAATGTTTTCACTTTTTCTAATCATTCATTCACTCATTTTTACATGTGGATGTTTGCGGAATTTTTTATTTAATATTTGAGTTGATTCCATAATTTTACTCCGACCACTGATAGTCCCATGTGTTTCCAGTATTCAATATTTAGCCCTCTGCTGCTGACTGCTTGGCACAATCGGTCAAATGGAGGACCTATTATTCTCATTCAAAACCAAAATAATTGGGTTATATATTTAGCAAAAGCGCAATGGTTATGCAACTCCGTGTGGCAATACAATCAATACGTTTACAAGAGCATTTAGTCAAACAAGAAGCAATTTCTCATTCACCTAAAGAGATTTTCAAACATGTCAGCAGCAGGCAGCTTGTAATGAGTCAGCTCCTCTGTGGCTCAGCAGTGTCTTCACCCCCGGAATTGTTTTCTCTCTCAAATGCGCCGGTGGACGATTAGATTAGAAGTTTCCATCCTGTTATGGATTGTTCAGTGCATGTAAAGCTGCGTGTCCAGGATGTGATTGGCTCAAAACGGCTTCCAGATGCAGGCTGGGGAGGGTCACTGGGGGTAGAGGAGGTCAGGAGGCTGGTCCCTGTCACTAGTAGAGACAAAACATCTATTTCAGAAAAACAGGAAACCCACAGAAGTTGTAAAAGCTCTCAGAACAACTCTTACTGTGGTTACATTTTCCAAATTCCTCCTGGCCTCTTTCCCTCTCTTTAGATTAATATTGTGGACTGAATTGCGTGTTTATTTTGGTATTGAATCTAGTTTATTCCACATCTGCCTTGCATTAAAAGACCATTGCAATGAGTTCTTGTGCATTTTGAACCAGTTTTCAAGTTGGATTTTGCTTATTTAATCTTGCCACACAAAACCGGATGTGTTGTTTTTAGTGTGTGGTGGTACTGGCAGGCTCTCATCGTATTGGTTTTAGTTTCTCGCAGTTCCAATCAACAGAACCCGGTCGCTCAGCCTCTTTTGTCTACATTTGTGCAACATGTGTTTTCACTTAGCGTTGCCCTGCCAATATGCAACCGCTTTGTACAAGAGTTGTGACAAGGCCGATCAGTCACGGTTTTAAATATGTGCTTGTTATGTGGACTTGATAGTGTAATGGTAATGGCCCATATACAGGAGAAGCCTTGGACTGCAAAGTACAATACTGGATTAATACACATAAATGAGAGAAGTGGACGGTGAACAGACAGCCTTCAGAGTGAGTTTTTGAATGCAGGATTGTATTCATTCCCTTTTCCACAAAGAAAGCATATTAATAATAACATCAGACGAGCAACAAGTTTTAATGGAATGTACAAAACAGAGAAAACACAGTTATAGAATTATCAGAAAGAACAAATGGATTGTTGCCCTATGCTTCTTTGTTACAGTAGTCTACTCAATACAACTGCTGATATGAATATAAGCATGATTAAAGTCTTATTATTTGAAATGTCCAAACTCTGCCCTGGTCCCATCCTTTAGATAAAGGGCTTTCGTCTGGTCAATGTTATTATCCGTGTGCGTGTGCCACAGTTAGCACAGGACATGTGTCTTTAAGGGGTTTATACGTCAACAGCCAGAGGCCAAATTGAAAGCAGCAGGAGATCCTTCTGTGCCGTTTATTATTCGGACAAAATATTTAAATAATTCTCTTTCTCGCTCTGTCACGGTCTGTCACTGTCAGCTGTAAACGTGGTGTAATGTTTTGTCTCATCAGCAGAAGAAGGTAGAAGTGCTTAGGACAGCGCATTTCTGCTCATGTTTTAGATTTCAGCGTAAGCAAGAAAGGCAGTATTTGGACCTGGGACAAAACAATAAAGAGAGAATGATATTCCGGATACAGGAAGGAGGTTCCCCTCAGACGGGCAGCAAAGTAGGACAGGGGTGCAGAACGGAGAAGGCTAAAAAGATTACCTAAACCACTTTTGTCATTGTCATTAGTGTATTTTTTGCTGTTGTCGAAGATATATTGCAGTTTGTCTTAAAAACAGTGTGGAGATTTAAGACCAACTTGAATGACCAGACGCACTAAAAGCTTAGGCCAGCTTTCTTGTAGAGGTAGACTTGTTCTTACAAAGAGGAGTTATAAAGTTATCAAATGTAAGGTCACAACTGTAAAAGCACTAAATTACATTTTATCTACATTTAAAATTGTCCAGTCCAGTTTATTTATAAAGCACTAATAAAAACAACAAAGTTGACCAAAGTGCTGTACATGAAAATACATACAAAATTATACAATTAGAAAATACAAAGCAGTAGAAAAAAACACACTATTTACAGCAAAAAATCTGTTCAAAATCAATTAAAAGCCAATGAGAACGAGTCTAAAGATGAGACTTAACCCTGGCTCTGTGGGGCACTTTGTTATAAGCACTGAGTTATGCATTTGTTCACTTGCTCCTAAATATTGTTGTCATATTTTCGTCCTAATGCGATGCTCTTTATTCCGTCTGAAACTGGACCATATTGGATAACTCGTTCTGTGATTCATGCCCAGTGATATATTCGTGCTTCCATTACTTACACAAAGCTCAGTGTTCTGAGGTTGTGGACGAGTCAGAAATCTGATGTCCTTCAGCTCCCTCTCCTGAGAACTGCTGAGCACAATAGTGACTGACTTTGTTACAGCAGAAAATATCTGTATTTGAAAGATACTTATCCAGAAACAAATCAGCCACCTTTTACTGTGTTGCAAAATTAGACAATAGGACTTACAATAGTTGAAATGTTGATGTGATGTGATGTGATTTTTA